CTGCAGAACAATTGCCATGATTTGGACAGGGTTTCGGTGTTTCTCCAGAAATTTCATGTCTTCAAACTGTTATCCTCCCCTGGTTTTACTTTTATTTGTGTGCATGTATGTCTGTCTGAGTGTGTGCACCATATATGCAGGTGCCCACAAAAGATGGCCTAATACCCCTGAAGACAGAGTTATGGACAGTTGGAAGCTAACTGACATGGATGCTGGGAACCAACCCAGGTCATCTGCAAGAGCAGGAAGTGTTCTTAATTGCTGAACCATCTCTCCAGCACTCCTACCCCAAAAACTGCTGATTTTGAGATAGTAAACCAAGGAGATGTGGAGCCTCATGGAACAGGATTAGGTCCTTGAAGTCATTGCCCTTGGAAAGAAATTTTGTCTTTGAAAAGTGAATTTGTTCTGCCAAGAGAAAGTAATAAGAAGAGTAAACGTGGTCCCCAAAGCCTCTTGCTGCCTGTCATACCATGGGATTGCTTCCAAATTCTAAAACTACTATCTGGAAAAGCCTCTTTTCTCATAAATACCAAGTCCTGGACATTTTGTCATGGCATCAGAAGTCATACTCAAACAAACAAACAAATCTCAGGGATGCTGGATTCATTGTTGAGATAATTCTATAATGAACTATAAGGTGTGTTATATGAGACTTTAAAGATGAATAAGTTTCAGCAAATTGGTTATAGAGAGCCAAGTGGGGGGGTTGGGTTTTTTTTTAAAGATTTTATTTATTTATTATGTATACAACATTCTGCTTCCATGTATATCTGCACACCATAAGAGGGCACCAGATCTCATAATGGATGGTTGTGAGCCACCATGTGGTTGCTGGGAATTGAACTCAGGACCTCGGGAAGAACAGCCAGTGCTCTTAACCTCTGAGCCATCTCTCCAGCCCCGCCAAGTGTGGTTTTAATGAGCATAGCCAAATGGGAAAGGAGAATGCATTAGTTACTTTTTGTTGCTGTGATAAACACCATGACCAAGAACTGCTTACAGAAGGAAGGGTTTATTCTGACTTACAGTTCCAAGGGAGAGTTCAATCACCAAGCCCTGCTGTTGTTAGTTCCCTCCCTGGGATGGACAGACATTTGTTCACATCTTCCCAGGACTAGTGTCACAAACAAGGTTCCTGTTAGATGGAGATTGACTGAAGCAATGTGAAAGAAAGAGGACACCAACATCCACAGAAGCAGATCGTCCTTCAGTCAGAAAAATGAAGGAGGGCAGTGGTGCACACCTTTAGTCCCAACACTCAGGAGGCAGAAGCAGGTTGGTCTATGTAAGTTCAAGGCCAGCCTAGTCTATGTAGTGAGGTCCAGGACAGCCAGACCTACATAGGAAGATCCTGTCCTGAAAAACAGGTAGAAAAGAACAATGAGCTGGGCAGCAGTGACACATGCCTTTAATTCCAGCACGTGGGTGGCAGAGGCAGGTGGATCTCTGAGTTCAAGGCCTGCCTGGCCTGTAGAGTGAGTTCCAGAAAAGCCAGAGCTACACAGAGAAACCCTCTCTCAAAAAAACAAAAAAGGAAACAAATTGTAGCAAGTCTTTCTCTGTCTCACCAGCCAGCTCCCAAATAACCACACGGAGACTTATTATTAATTATGAAAGCTCAGCTGATGGCTTAGGCTTGTTTCTAACTAGCTCTTCTAACTTAAATCAATCCATTTCTATTAAGTTGCATGCTGCCACCTTACCTCATCTTCTACATGTCATTGCTTCCCCCAAATCTCCTTGAGACTCCACCTTTCTCTTCCCAGAGTTCTCTCTCTGCCCTGAAGTCCTGCCTATACCTCC